AAGAGCATTCTCCATGCTATAAAATAAATCAAATTACACATACGCACACAGATAGCAATTTCTTTGACTGCGGTTAGCAACTTTTAACCCAAATTTTAGTCTTTTCTCGCATATTTACTATAGAATGTTGGTTCCCCTTTTAAATTACATCTGTATAACAACGACTTCTTTCATTTTTCGCTATATTACTTAAGAAACATTGCCAAATAAAATAAGATAAAACAAGAAAATTATCACGGTTCAATTTCAATTTCTTTATCTATTCGGAAGATTTATAAAATTTGGTATCGACACTTTCAAATATTATATCTGGCCAATTTCATTTATATTTTTAAAACAACTATTTTATTGAAAACCCTTGTTGTGCATTCGATAGATATTGCATATCTGTGGTGAATACCCGCCTAATTCTTGGTAGATAATCGAATAACTGAACGACAAAGCATACAAAATACGAAGTCACAATATAACATGCCCAGTGCTTTGATTATACAATAAATAAATAAATAAATTTATGGGTTTCATACGTAGCATCTTAACTACGGGGAGACCCCAGGGCCATCTAGGCTATTAAGAAGTAATCTGCATTTAAAACGTTCCACGTCGATGCCCACAGATGTATCCCACGACAAAAAAACAAAACAAGGTCATTTTCTGTGCTGCCTTTAAGAGAACTACCACACACAGTATCCAGCCTACGTCATCAGGACTTTGCAACTAAATACTGACATAACGTTACGTTGTTATCGAAATCAGGTTGTGATAATTTTTGAGAACATAGCAATCGCTCAGAAGAGCATGACATTCCTCGCCCATTTGTAGAACGCCAAGTCTCATTGCCTCCTGCTGGATTCTGTCCTGAGCTAATCGACTTCCGTGCACTCTCTCACACTGTCCACACGGCGTTGCAACCAAACATCGACTTCTTGGAAATGTTTACTCTTTGGAGTACAATGACTTTCCAAAGATGTTATCCACGCTACATCACGTACGACATTGTTACACTAACCTCATCCAAGGTCACTGTTGCTTGCGAAGTTTCCAACAGTGAGACATACTTTCTTGCAAATTGCCTACCCCCTCAGGAAATACGTGGCAGACATGGACGGGACCACGTATTGTTCACTTACGTAACAGCGTGAATAACACAGAAGTCCGTTCTGAAAACCACAGTGCCCTCTTAGATGTTATAAAGGAACTTCGTTCTAACAACAGGCTTCCTTCTACATGTAGCGGGCCGGGAAACGTCGATTACAAGGAATACTACTACGACGGAGGTGGCTCTGGTTACGACCGCGTTGACAGATACCCACAGGCTTGGGCTAGTGGGGGTAGCGGACCGCCAGGGTACCGAGGTCCTACGTCCTACCTGTCTTACCTCTACGACCGCAACGGATCCAGTGCGGGCAGTGTCAATGACCAGAGCGGGGCAAGCAACTCGGCTAGCAACAGGGTGTCAACAGTAGTGACAGACCCAGGATCTACAAAGACAACGCCACCAACGACCTCCTAGTGACACCCGGCTACAAAACGTCACCCCGACAGAGTTCACTTGTTCGAAGAAGATATTTTATTAATGACCAGTGGAAAACTTAAATTTCATACCATTTGTTGATCTCTGTTGTTTATTAGCGATGTTGGGCCTACCCTCAAAACTTATAATTTAACAAACTATCACAGCTTTCCAACGACAGAAAATAATTTTTCATACAAATGTTGCAATACGGAATTTAATTTAAAAAGTACAATTAAAAATAATCATGAACACTTACAGCCATTATAAATACTTATAAGCAAGAAGTATTAAAAAAATAAGCAATGACTGATGTATTAAATATATTAAGGAAAATCATTAAATTATTAGGCGCAGTGTAAGTATTTTATATTTGCAGTGAAAACGGAAAATAAAGATTAGTGGGTTTCGTGCACAACAAAATTAAACGCGTAATTGAAAAACTGAAATTTATTTCATTTTAATTAAGAACTGCAGTAATCAAGGTGAAGACAATCTTTACGGTTACGTACATTACTTACTGATATATAATTCTATAACCTTCCAGACGTATTGTAAGTTAATTTTATGTTGTCAGGTATGACATTTTACGCACTGAATCGAGGTTGCCACTTCAATGTGCGTGATATCCGAAGTGAAAAGTGGATTACTTTTGAAAAAAATATAGGTACACCAGATTTAAATATAAATATTAACATTTACAATATATGTTCTAAAATGATTTTCCAGCTAAAATTCATGTAATGTCATTAAAACGCGTCACGATTTCTGTAAATCAGTTTTAAGACCTCGTCTGATTAAACAAAATTATATTTAAAATACGCTACAAACTATGCTGATCTTGCAATAGCATTTCAGACACGATTCAATAAATCAGTACGCATTCATTCCAGAATTTTATACAAAGCATCCTATTATTTCCACGTAGAATTATGAGATGTGATCTCACAATGCGTGATGCAAATTCCAGGAAAATTCCCAAACATTATTTGCAACAAAAAGTCATTATAGCACTTTGTTGTCATGCTGTTTTAAATTAAATGGCATATATAAATTTAATGTTGGGTTACAGAATTACGCCTGATATGTGTTTTGAAGCGATGTAAAGAGAAAGCCACCATGTACTTTAATTACACACAGAGATAATTAGGAATTAACAAATGCCACATAAAAAAAGTAAGTGACATAGAATGTTGCTTGCGTCTCTCATGTAAAAGTAAGCTTATAAAAAATTCATTAACCCCTAAAGCTGTATTATTCTTTTCTGATTTACACTTAAAAGTTGCATACCGTACAGAAAGGATAAATTTTCACGAGATAATTTGATGCTGATTAAAGTGTGTGTAAAAACTTCAAGCTTATTACTTTATGTTTATATCAATAATTTAGTTTACTAAGACGAATATAGGTATCTTAAGAATTGTTTATTTTTTAACGTATCTTACGTAACATTTTCTGAGAAAGAGTGATAATATATTGTAACTACTGCCTACTGTAGATCACACGATAATGTGTAATGAAGATCAATATAATATTTGTGATAGTCTATAAATTATAATTTATATTTTAATTCTAGTGAATAAAAATTATAATGATTTTATATATATATATCTTGTAATTAACTCAATATATTTCTGTACGCCGACGGTTGTCAAATTACGATCCATACAAAATTGTAACTCCTAGACAAGCTGTTATAGCAGATCAACTAAACTTATATTTTAAGATACGGATCAATATTCAATGAATGTGGGGATATGTGCGCAGATATTTCGGAGAACAGCTATCTTATTATCCTCTCAGTATCGCATTCATCTTTCCCACCCCTCAAACACGGAAATACCCCCCAAAACTGAATAAGATTTCCAGCCTGAAGAAGTAAGTGATTGGTTCCTCTAAAACGTACAAGACGTGACGAAGTCGTAACACAGAAAACCAAAATCAACTAATGTCTGTACATTTTCAATTAATCAACAGACCGCCATCATTTAAAGATTGAACTTATAACTAAATAACCTGTTCGTTTTGCTTAAATGACACTGCGCTCAAATCAATACATTAATTACAAAATTTCATAATTAATTCCTCAGACAGTAACAGAGGAAATTACTTAACTTTTGATTCTGCATTTAGCTTAAAAAAAACCCTGCTTCACGCTTTCATTTCATTTTTTTCTCATAATTTAATTAGAATTACAAATTTTAAGTAAAATTTAACTTAATTCCCATAAATTTAGCTCCTTAATTATTCCACATCTAGGCAAAGCAAATAACAGTGTAATCTCATTTCATCTACGCTCTCCGTATGAACCTGATCCCATACTACACACACACACACAAAACGCTGGATTTCCCTTCCACAGCACCTGAATTTAATCAAGATTACTGTACTTTGTTGACGTCATATCCTGTTACCTATTAATCTGTTCTTCTAGCACACATCACAGTTTAATGCGACTTCTGAACTGTATCTGCTTTCCTCAGAAGCAGTTTTACTTGTTACCAAGTTGAGGCCTTGGAAATACTTTAATTCACGTAGAGCTGAATTCATTTACGTCAAAATGGTACGTTCAGTTGTAGAGTGTAAGGATGACGTACAATCCAGGACTTCTACTGAATCAATTTCTATTCCTAGAAGCATAATCAACATTTTTAAACATTTTATTATTTATTTATTTATTTAGTGTTCTGTCTGACGACAGGTCCATATGAACAGGATCCTTCCATCCTTTTCTCGGACTGGGACCTGTTCATATACGTTCTTGGCAGATGATCCAGAAGTGGTTTGCCATTGCCTTCTTCTGTGTGTGAATGGAGTAATTGTTGGGATGCCACGGAGGAAAACTCCGTGTTGCCTAGACCACGGCCTTGCCCAACACAAGTTATAAATTCGGGCACCGCCGGGAATCGAACCCGAGACCCCAGGATTACAAGGCCAGCGTTCTAACCGCTAGACCACCGTGGCATGTTTTTAAACATTATAGGAGGATAACAGAAACGCACACAAAATTATGGCTTGGACTCCTAGAAGGAAAAGACCAGGCGTACATAGGAGGATAATATTAAAATGGATCTTAGGGAAACTTAGTTTGGTGGTGTGGATTAGATTCCTCTGGTTCAGGATACGATGAACACGGTGACGAAGCTTCTGAAATAAGTACCAATTATCAATTACGACTTTGTCGCTGTGTTGAAGTACCTTGCGCGATGAACTTCTGCAAATTCTTCTTTTATTTATTTGTTTACACGGGATATTTTTAGAACTAGCCTATAGTCTGTTCAGTATTAGGAGATATGAAGTTGGCTTAAATACAACAGAAATAAAAACTGCGAACCGAACGAAAAACAAAGGAACGTGGAAGAGGATTACGTATATGAGGATGCAAAGGGGGGAGAGAGAGCAATGGGAGAACAATTAAGAGGGAAATAAGAATGAGGAATAATAGGCCTATATTATTACTGTTCCGGTAAACAGATGCCAAGAATGATGCTAACACAATACAAAGCAGCCATTACGGGTAAAGAAGAAGAAGAAGAAGCCTTAGTCTTATAGCAGAGGAGCGGTGCAAGAAGGACTCACGCCGCACAAGCACTTCTAAATATCTTTTCAGTCTACGACAACAAACGTGTGCATATTTTGAAGAAAAAGTCAAATATCGATAGAAATCTATGACATGAAAGTACGGCGAACGTGAAATATCTGGGAAGGAAGATGTCGTGGCCTATTAAAATCGTACTGAAGACGACTGTCATTACAGGACGCAACAACCCAGAAGACAGCCATCTTCGTACTCAACGCCGTGAGAACCTCAAATCCTACTGCCAGAGGTAATATTCAAGACTGGGATGTGCTACTAGGAAATTATAAGCAGACTTAAGACTAATCGTATTAACATGGAATAACTGACATTATCTTTAAGTGGCTTTGTTACGGACTCAAGAGCAATAAGTATCTTTAAGTCGACAGATAGAAACCAAGTGTTTGGAGAATCGGGAATGTTATATAACTTAACCACTATCTGAAGATGCATTTCATTCTGTCTAATTAAAATGTCTTTCAACTTTATACAGTAATTCTCTTCCCCTCCTTTTCAGTCCATCATACTCTGAAGACCATCTTCATAATAGCTTAAATACAAATGAGAAAATAATACATTAGGCCCTCAGCGGGAACAAGTCATTCAGCCAAAAGGAAGAAGTTCTTGGCAGAAAAACGTGTCAAAGCACAATTACGTATTTAAATGTTTTAAACGAAATTAAAATACGCGAAACAAACTTAATATGTTTAACTAAATACTGAAATATAATATATGCTCTGTATTGTATTCCTCGTCTCGAAAGGTGTGTTTAATTTATTTACTTAAACGACCTGGATTATTTTAAATTATATCAATTAAAGATAAACCAGTAATAAAATATGATAAATGTGGATATGGGACTCTATAGCAGAAAGAACACTGGTTCGAACCCAAGTGTCAGACGGAGAAGAAATGACAATTCCACACACAATCGATTTACGCAAAAAATAACTTAACTGCATCACTTAGAACTATTTTGCTTGTAATTCATTAACAGACAACATGCTTGAAACAAGACACATTTCGCTTTAACATTCTCATAACGCGGTATTTTTCTTAATAAAATACTTCATGGGTAATAGAATTCTTATTAGAATAAGTGGCACTACATAGCAAATGTTCGATAAAAATGGACGAAAGCTGCTATTGAAGACACTTACGTTGTTCATGGAACTTTAGACTTCGTTATAATTGGTCTCGCTTCATACAACTATGCAGATCGGATACAACAATTCTAGTTAAGTGCAGGACACAAGCTAAAGATAGGCTTCAATGCGAGAAAACCATCCTACATACAAGAAACAGAATAAGAAATGTCTTCAGATTAACCTATTCATCACGTTCTTACAACATTGCATAAATTAAACATTTTCAGCTAGTAAATACACAGTATAATTAATAAAATATATGTAATTTAAACATAGTTTTCGTTTATATTATATGAACAGTAAAATACTGAAAACGACCCCTTTTGGGAATCGAAACAAGTCCCCCTAAGTACAAAATAATATCGTACATTAATATAACATGTTAGTCGGAGTACCGTGCTTATAATGTTCAGTCTGCTAAAGGCTATAAATCTACAGAATAGGATTGTGAAATACAGGCTTAATATAGACAGATATAAAGCCAATGGGGATACAAGATAAATGTAACCGAATGTTCAGTCTTTCTTTTACCATATTTAATGTGCTTCATCCACGTGAAAAAACCTACCAAAAGATCTCCCTCATGTCACTACAATAGATCAAGATGTCGTCAAATGGCGACATTGTACACTAAAACGACATTTTTTGCAGGTCTGCTCTTCGGGGTGTCGTGCGTTTACAGTGGAAGATCCTGTTCTTGTTGGGACGAATAGCCCATCTTTCCTTATACTTAGGAGCTTTCTTTGTGATTCTGAAACGAATGGGCTCTTTACTGCATTTACTTTAATGATGATGACTTTATTGTGCCATGAAACTATTATACGTTTTTTTGTTCGGTTTCACATAGAAAACAGAGCAGACTAAATGCGGTTGTCAGTTCAAACTGAAGAAGAAACAGGACAAGTGAACAAGGGCATATTTTTATATAATACGCGTGTAGTCAGAGAAAAATAACAAACATGTCAAAAGAAGGAGCATTTCAATCTACGTTCATCCGCTAACATTATCGCAGCAATGAGATAAAGAAGAGTGAGGTCGTATATAGAGCACGTACGTGGTAATAGGAAATTAACATAAACTGATGATTAACTAACTAAATGGCTTACGGAACCCGAAGGTTCATCACCGAATTAACCAAAGCCCTCCACCGGACCCTGTCCTGGGCCAACAAAATCCAGTCTCCTTCAACTCCTATCTCCCATAGATCCCGCCTGAGATTATCCTCCCATCTACGTCTAGGTCTCCCCAGCGGTCTCTTCCCCTCAGGTTTCCCAACCAGTACCCGGTGCACACCTCTTGTCCCATCCATGCGTGCTACATGCACCGCCCATCTCACTCTTCTCGACTTAATCACCCTGACAATATTAATAAACTGATGATTAAACGGTAAAAACATGGGACCCTAAAAGTTCTGAATAGGATATAAATTTGAGATTCTAGCAGTAGCCTTCTGATTATGAGGTAGTCACCTGGTTTAATGTGTTATCCACATTTGACAGCCTAATGTGATATAGACTGTTTTCGTATTTGGTTCACGTTACAAAGTTCGAATTGGTAAATCTCCCATGTATGGAACAGTGTTACGATCCTTCATTTGTAAATCAACACGATGGTTGTGACTACATTTACAAAACACAATGAAATTCAAGTCTTTGTAACAATGTATGGCAATGTGTTATGTACAATAAATAATTTCTGCCTACATTATAATTGCTGTCATCACTTTGATGAGAAATCTTTGTGATCATGTGGCATTTCAAATTCTAAGATTTTACAAATAATTACATTTTGAATCCCAAGGAACCCGAAGTACGCCTTCAAAAGCGTTTTAAAATGATATCAATACTTTAGAAAATGCCAATAAGGTTACGCAACGTTACTAC